ACATAGATAAACAGTTAGTTAGTTAGATAGAGAGTAGAGCTAGATTGTGTGTTTGTGAGTTTAGCCATAAAGAACATATTGTGGTGCTTTTTTTAAGTGAAATTATTGCAGATTATATTATAACAACAGAGTAGAGAAGAATAATTTGTCTAAAGTAAATGAACAAACCTTTGTATATTTTTGACAAAAAGACAATTATTTAAAGCTCTTGATGAAACTGTTGCAACCAACAGTGTAATGTTAGTGAAATTGTGATTTATTTTATTCTAACAACAGAGCAGAGGAGAATAATTTGTCTTGTCAATTGTGTTCTAAAGTAACTGAACCAGCTGGTGTGGACTTTGATGAAAAAAAGACAATTATTTAAAGCTCTAGATGACAACTGTGGACAACATTTATATATTTGTTTTACTTGTTTTGATATTTTATTTTAAGAGAAGTGGACTGTGTGATGTTTGTTTATTGTTTAAGTTTATCACCAATAACTTACAGACACCTACTGTAAAGAATTCTGCCTATCCATGTATATAAACCTGACAAGTGGCCTTGTATGATACCAGCTATTCTGACATAAAACATTTTGGAAAAAATAAATAAAATATTGAATTATAATATGTTTCATTGATGGCAGCTAATAATTTGGCACAGGTAAAGGTTCCAAGAATACAGTGCCATTTGTTTTATTTGAATCTTTGTAGAAACAGTTGAACTTGTACCAGTGAACAACTGGATACATCATGTTTACCTAATAATCTATTATTTAATGATTGCATAATGTTTACCTAATAATCATCAAATATCTGAGTAATATATTAGTAAATAGTAAAATATTAATAAAATAACAAACAAGATGCTAGAGACAGGAAAGAGTAAAAGCTTAAGTTGAGCATGTGTAGCTTGAAATAATTATATTAATAGCATTGATATTGTTTTAGAACTATTGGTTTTCAATCCACTATATGCTATTGAGATCTAGAAAGTAATTATTAAGAAGATTGAGTAGTGCTAGTGTGGTTGACTACAAACGATATGTTAATTGTTTGTCATTGTGTCTAAATTCAAGGATCATACCAGAAAAGAAATAATGTGTGTACTTTTAGTAAAAGCTTTACTTAGCAGCAGTTTTTTATTTAATGATAAACAACATTACTTGAGAACAAAATAGAAAAATTTACAATAGAGTAATCAAATAGTGTAATGCAATTTCACTGCCAGTGATGAACATGTTTTCATACAGCAACATGCCAGTTAATGTAGCCTATACGGGTATGATTGTACATCATGATGGTGTATAATTATAATGCAACTACAAATGTTGTATGTTTTATCAGCAGGTTTGATTCTGTGTATGAAATGTCCTGTATGTATAATTAGAATTTACTATCTAGTTAATTGTAAGTACAGTCTGATGATCTTATGAACAAACAAAACTTGCATGAACCTTAAAATTATTTTCTGTAATGTAAGGAATCGATAAATGTATGGTTATGGTAATTCAAAGGCTAGATTCCTGCTTTTGATGTAGATGAACTTGATATGAACAATTCATCAAAGAATTTGTGAAAATAATATAGTGTGCTTTGGATCAATTGATGATTTCATTACAGATATCAGAAATGAATTTATTGCAGTGTATTGTTTGCAGTTTCATTTTTGTGCATGTACAGACATCAGATAATATTGTTAAAGAATATTCCATTTTACAATAATAAACATGACCCTTCCATATATCAAACGTTGAAACATAATCACTAAATTTAAAATCTAGTGAATTGTTTATGCTGTAATTTTGTGATTTAAATTAAAAAGGTATAATTAGTATGCAATATCATAAACAAATGGATATACTGCCTTTGTTATGTATGTTCTAATAAAATATCAATAATTTGAGAAATATTGACTTATCATATTGAAACTTTGCTAGATGTCATTGAAGCAAACTGTGACTCTTAGCATACAGAGTGTCTTGTTTCTATTAAACAACCAGCATGTAGACCGTCCAAAATGACAAAGCAAGTACTACCACCCCCACTCCATAGTATACCCTAACCTCACATTTCATAGCTAACTGAAATAAATTACTTTTTCAAAATCGAGCTCAACCAACAAAGAGACAGAAAAGTGCAGTCCAGGCAGTCAAATGTTGGTAACTTCCTTTGTGAACCAATCAAAATTAAGGTCATTCATGAAATGAATTTGTGGCATATTCATATAAGAATTATTGATAAAAATAAGTTAGATTAACAAATTTTAATATAGAGAAAAGCCAGTGCATTTTGGTAACACCATGTTCCAACAATGGCTTTTATGTCATGTTGCTTAGCAAAAAAGTATAACCTAATATTTTTGATAATCTATGTACTGAAAGTATAAAATGAAATGTACAGACAAAACTGGAAAAATATTTGTTGATTTCTTAATTTAGAGTCTCTGTTGATTAAAGAGATTTGTTTTTTATTAAGAATGTTGATGATATAACAGAAAGTAACAATTTAAGTTTAAAATTGAATTGATACTTTCATGATAAATTTCATGCACTTGGCTCTAGGCTAGGTGAACTCACACTACATCTTTACTTTAAGCTTATTATAACAACACTCACTACACTTGGCCCCCTTGCATCCTCATCACTAAAATCATAATATCTAGACGATAATCAAACTATTCTATCTGGATAAATGCATTTTGGCTTTTATGACTCCTTCTTTTTCGAGAAATCAAGTGTGAGGTGACACACACTGGCTTTTATATAGGTTAGATACCTGAATAATGTTTTGAATTTTCATGTATTATGACAGATAATGGTTTAGTTATACATTACAAGCATAGATAAGATAGTCAGAGAATAAAATATTTTAGTCAGGGAAAGGTCAGGAATTTCATTCTACTTGGATTGTGCAAACCGTGTATGAAGCTTATGTGAGTAATAAGATGTTATATGACTTTTATGAAGGATATAAATGTTTTCATAGCTTAAGTGAAGGATGTAGACATGTTACAACACTACTTAGTTTATTTTAAGGTATAGATAAAATAAATTACAAGATTAAACTAAAACCTTGTATGTTAAAGCCAGAAGCACAAGTTTGAGAAAGATTCATTTGAAACATTATGGGATGTATTTTGGAATGATCATTCACAGTTTTAAGTGTTTTAGGGAGCTGTTTATTTCACAGGTAAGCATCATGTACTGGAGAATAGGGGTCTTTGAGTAGGTTCTCAGTTGTTTAATTTCTTCAGTAGACTTGCACCTGTGGATTTAAGAAATAATTAACACTAACATTTCCTAAGAACTAGTCAGTACCAGGTATTCAGGAATTCTTATCATTTTAAGGTGGATAACATTAATAAATGTATAATTAACACCTTTAATAATGGAGTATTGTATATACATTTCAAACAAAATGTAGAAGGCAAAAATCTTGTTTTATTATCCTTAAAAAATCCTTGCATATAAGTATGGTACACAGGTAATTTTTAGACTTAGGTCCACATCAGGTGACAGTTGAATGACACCCTATTAATACCCTAGTAAATGGCATAAATTTGTATGTAAGGTAGTAATTTAATTTGATTGCCTATTAATATTTTATTTATGTCACATTATGTAACCATTCAGATAATTTTTTAATAGCCAGATAATCAACAATAAAAATTATTTTTTTAAACCCAATATGCTTTTTTTCAATAAGATGTTCTTTTATTTTGTTGTAAGTGGGTTTAAGTAAAAATGTGTTCATTATCAGCATGATTTAGAAGAAGCAGCAGAAAAACTTTCAGAGATGGTTGCTCGTCCATATCTCAGAACTCCTCGTGATAAAATCATACAGAGTACAATCTACTGTCGCCGCAAACGTCATGAGTTTGTTACAGCTGTCTCAAAAGGACTTATTCCACCAGAAACACCGCCAAGCCTTCGTCGTACTAAACACAGACGTTACCCAGGCCTCATGGGCATTGATTCTGTTGAAGATGTAAGTATATGAAATAAAGGTGTTGACTGACATCAAATGGTTGAGGACACTGCTTTTGTATTAACTGTACTTGCTATTATGATATCAAGAGTTTTATTGCAGTGATCTTATTTAAAAGATTATTATTATTTATGACCATTTTATATATAATATAAGATATTTTCTTTAAGGTAACGTTTTGGTCTCTTTACTAGCTACATCAGTAAGAGCATGTAGAGATCTCCATTTTTTGTCCAAAATATGGGTGAAAGCCATGGGTCTGTTCATCACTTTAATTACCTCGATGTTTGTAAAATAATAGCTAATCCACCCCCAACCCCTACCAAAACAGAAAAATTAGAACAAAGTAATGAATTGAAAGGTGCAGTTTGATTTATTTTCCAAAGACCCTAGAGGAAGTTTGTTTATTGATTTGTAGATATTACTGGTGCTGGACAATTAAATTGATTAAACTGTATAATCAGTTACTTAAGGAAATTCATTAATGTCATGTAAAGTAATTGATTATTATTAATTATGATTAAATCACTGAATGTCATGAAAATAATTAACTAATCAAAATCATTATTTCTGATTATTACTTTTCCAGTTATTCCAACTGTCCAAGTAATTGTAGTATTGCAATTATGATTTCTCATTATTAATTTTGATTAATTCAAGGTTGTTGAGCTTAATCGATTAGTGTCATGACTCACAAAAATCATCAAGAAATCAAAATCAATGTTTTTGATTATTACTATTTTCAATTATTCCAACTTTCCAAGTCTCCATTGAGAATAATTAATTTATTAATCGCCATAATTTCTTTTTTTCATATTCACATATTGCAGTTTCTTAATATAAATGTGCAAAAGAGGTCAGAATGCTCATTCCTGTAAATAATTCTGAAAAACAGAAACTTTTTTTTCTATAAAAATTAGCATTAATATATTTTCTAACAAATATTGAAAATTAGTTGTCACATGCAAGATTAGATATATTAAATGTATATACAAGGACACACATTTCCTAAACTCATAAAACTTTAATACTGTGTTATTTAGACTCGTAAGATTGGTAAAATGAAAGAGATGTAAAATATGTTGCAGAGTTTATCTAAGAAACAACTTTCAATAAACATGAAAGCTATTCCTAGAAAAACTGAGTTAATTTTGAGAAAATAGAGGTTATGTAGCTTTATGAATATATTGTTGCATCAGCGAGGTCATGTGACTAGTATCACGCCACGTCCTTCTAGAAATATCCTGTTCCTTCGTGAATGCTGTAGCATTTACTAGAGATGTGTTAGTCTTATATACATAAGACAGTCACAACGTGATGGAAAAATGAGTAGTTGAATGTATGCTGACAGAGAGAATATTGTTGGGCACATGAGATGTTCTTTGAGAAATATAGCATTTGTTATAGAGCGACTGTTGAAATTAAGTGTATCGTAAAGTTGTATTCGGAAAGAATAAACCAGTTTTATTTAAGAAAGGACTTGTGTCACTAAAGTTTCGTCGCAACGAATTTACGGAAAATTAACTAACGAACAGAGACGTAACAATAAAGTGGTACACTTAGAGTGGGTGGGGAGTGACAACACAGTCCCGGATGACGAATTTCAATTTCTGTTTGTTTCAATCCAAATCCTCGAGTTCACAGAAACGTGTTTGTTAGATGATAAAGGACTGTTGTTGTTTTCAGTTCAACCAACAAGTGATCCAGAACCAAACTCTCACTGGTAAGGTAATAAAACCAAAAGTGTCAAGAATGTTAACATATCGTACATACAGATAATGTAACCTACATTTACATAGCTGGAATCAGTGTTCTGTTATAAACAAGAAATTATTATAAAGTTTTAAGTTTTAGCGGAGAAAAAAAACCCGTGAAATTGCAAAAACAGGGTCATTTTTTTACCCAGTATTTCGAGAAGTCTAAGCGAGGTTCAGAATGTGTAATGAGCATGGGAACCTCTTTATGGTTGGGGCAACAGTGCCGGGCAACGTACATGTCTTCTCCAGATAGTTGGAGTCTCGAGAGCTTAATATAAGACATTATGATCAACAAAGATATTTAACCAGAGGCCCAAGCAAGGAACAGCCACCCAGCTGTTTTCATTGATCTCATCAACGTAATGTTGGATAATTTTGTCTTAAGAGGCCTGTTAACTGTTGCATGCGCACTCTAAAAGTTAGCGTGCCTGGACTGTGAATCCGAATATTTAAAGTTCGCGGCCCGTTACAACCAAAACACACTCCGTATTTTGGGGCTGTCGGTTCACTATAAAAGTCAAATCCTAGTTTTCGGTCAGAGAAAGGTTGACGGTGGGTGCCGTTAACGATCTGTCTTCTCCCTAGTCTGTTAGTTCACAACTAGGACTAGCACGAAAAGTCTGAAAGAAACAAACATGACTCGAAAGAACGGGACAAGGAAGTCAATAATCACGAACCAAGCCAAAAATTAGGCCTTGAAGATACCACTAAAAATAGCGGTAGAGTTTCAGAAGAAATTAAGCTTTAAAAATAACGATGTTGATAAGAACTTGTATCGAAGACTGAAACGCGTTCATAATTAAGCCTTCAAAGTAACGTTAATGTTTGTAAGAATAGTATCGTTCTATTTGGACGTAGGAAAAAATGTAACTACACCTGAAAGATTTACAAATGAACATCAATAAAGAAAATAAATCTGTTCCACTTTCCATTACTTGGTACTCGTTATGCTTTATCTAAACGTAACTATTGTATTGGTAATTATTTTTAGCTTCATATATTGGACAAACACGTTAATAAAACGTGAAACATATTCCTTTTGTTGTGTAGTTTTAGCGATATACAAATCCAGGAAGTACCTCAGCATTAACACTTGACAACAGTTTCTATAGCAACACACTATCTGGGGAGACGATATTAGTCATGGACTTACGATAACATTTATTTTTCACGGTCAGTTCTTTGGTTTGTTTGTATCCATCCTAAACTTTCGGTGGACGTAATTCCCTCTTGCGGCGGCTCCTGTAATCGGTTCCCATGTTTCGTGTTAAGACAATTTGTATTATTTTATTCCTGCGAATTTCTCTCCCCCTCCCCTCCGCCATTATTAAGTTTCCACCCCTAATAAGTTGCCTCCTCCTTACATTACATTCCACCACTGATACAGTTGGCCTCCTTACATTACATTCCACCACTGATACAGTAGGCCTCCTTACATTATATTCCACCACTAATGGCGTAGGCCTCCTTACATTACATTCCACCACTGATACAGTAGGCCTCCTTACATTACATTCCACCACTGATACAGTAGGCCTCCTTACATTACATTCCACCCCT